GTCTAAAAATTGCTAACGTAAACACCCTAACAAGATTGAATGAAATTTATACCTTTATGAAGGGTTCGAAGAGTGGATTCCGAATATATAATCGTTACTTCAATTACTTCAACGGTTTGGGAAATATCTTAGAGAGAAGAAAAAAAATGAAAGAGAGAGAGAGAGGCGGTGAAGAAGCAGAAGAAGATGCAACGATGGTTTATTTATTTTTTATTTTTTTACTTTACATATATATATATATATATATATATTATAATTATAATAAGTTTAGTAATTTGACGGTTTTAACCCTTTAACAATTATCGACCGTTATATAAGTACGGTACAATTCGGGTAAGTTAACGAGAATGTGATTTTAAAATTCGGGTCTTGCAGTTTGTTTCTTCAATCATTGTCGATATCTTTCCTTTGACTGGTTGTGGTTCTTGAAAATCTAATTAATATGATTCCCAAACGCTTCAGCGTTCTAGAATCGAATACGTTGTTCTGCTTCAGATTTGATCATAGAAGTAACAAGTATGGTTTATTTTTGTGTGCGATCCAAAGAGGAAATGGAAAGGCCAGAGGCGGACCTAAATTTTTTTGACTATAAGAAACGGAGATATGCATATTTTTCATAAAATCATCCTTGGTTTGTTGGTTAATTCCAGTGTCTTCTATTACCAAAAAAAATTCACAAACATAATAAATCTGAAATTAAAAACAAAAAACTAAGAAAATAAGCCAAACATGATTCAAACACAGGCCCACGGTAAGAGAAAAACCATTCAAACAAACTCTACTACGGAAAATTTGTTTCATTATTGTAATTTCAAAATATATACGATTGCACACAACAAAATACGGTGGCACCTTTCAGGAGACTATAATTTATTATGCTACATCAGAGGACGAAACAGTTGTCTGTGTTATGTATGCTATTTAGTGGGTCCTACCCGGGCGGAGGGGATCTTATTCAGAACAACTCCGTTAAAAGAATTCCTGATTGATTGATTATCTTAGAATCCAACAGTTAATAGGTACAAAACATCATAAAATCCAAAAATATTACAATTATATTATCATATCACTACAAGAAAAATCCTCATTACTGACAAAATATTTTTGGTCACTACCAATACAAAAATTGGTCACTAAGGCCCTTTAGTGACCAAAATTTGGGTGGTCACTTTTCGTCACTAAAGGTCCGTCACTAATTTACGTTTGTGACCAAATTCAAAAATAGTCAATAAACGTTAACCAAACAACAAACGTTGGGAATGTTACATAATTGAGGGGTGCTCATTTTGTCATTTGTCAAAGATACTTGTCTCTTATTTGAGATGTCGTCTCTCATCATTTCGAACTAAATGCAGTTGAATGGCTTTCAAGTTTCAAAAATAGGTCAGCTTGTTGGGTGTTCAAGTATAAGGTATAATACATGAGAATTGAAAATATGATAATCTAATAATGGTGTTCTTAAACGTGAATTTCTAACAATTTTATAATTAGGATCTCATTCCGATATTAAAACAACTAATCATTGATGCAGACACAAATTCTATTAATATTAATTTAGTATGTAGTTCAACTTCTCTTCTCCTTGTTAGTTCTCTGCACCAAGATATAAAATATTTTCAACTAAATTCAGGGAGCTTCAAATTCAAGGAAGAATAAAAATCCCCTTGTGGTCATGGAGGTTCAAATGCGGTGACTCCGGGCTATCTGCAAAGCAGGTGGTCGCCCTGAGATTAGTCGGTTCGTATAGCGGGTTAGATATTCAGGTTAATAAATATATATATATATATATATATGTATGTATGTATATATATATTCAACTAAATGATAAATAAGGCAAATAAGAATCAGTTGATACAAGGAATGTCAAAGACTATACCAAACATCACAATTATATTCCAATCGATGACAATCAGACTATGTTTGGTAAAGACTTAATTTGGGTTTGTGGTTAGATGCATGTTTTCACGTATCGTTTATATATATAGTTACTTATATTTGGATGAGGGTTAGAAAATACCTTCTCTCTTTAATTTCTTGCTCCTACGGTGTAAGCATATACTTCATCATTTTAACAATTTTAAATACATAAATAAAAACGAAAATGTGTAGAATCAATTTGATCAAGTGATAGGGACAACAAGTATAACCACAAAAGTATTAGTGATGTTGATATATAATTTAGTAATTCATAGTTACATTATATTATGAAGTAGAAAAAAATAATCTAGGGATTACTGTATGCAGAAACTACTATTATATGAATAAGCAAAACATGATTTTAATTGATTTTTTCATACATAAACACACTACTTGTTTTTACTTGATAATACACATACATACAAAATCACCCGTGATAATAACGCATATAAAAACATCAACAATTCTTTTGAGTTCTTACAAACATGTTAGGAAATACGTTATGGTTTTAGAAATTTATTCCATAATTTAAAAAAAGAAAACAAGAACTTCACAGGTTCACTTTAAGAGTTGGTAATAAAACTAAAAGTGAAATTTAGATTGACCCAAAAAAAAACAAGGGCAAAAAATCAAGCCACTTCTGATTTTATTGTTATAAAATTGGGAGAGAATATTTCATGGTTGCTAAAAAAATTGTAAGGAATTTGTATATCATTGAGGTTGACTATTAGGCTTTATCAAATTCAAGACCCCGAACTTTTTATTTTTGAAACGGCAATATATAAAGGCAAGGCAAGCAAGACGCCAACCCGCACAAGCACCAAAAAGATTACATGTTCAAGTTACAACTCCAATCATTCCAAGAGACCGATCTACCGAATTTACAACGATGCTTAAACCAAATGAATGCAGAAGATTGAATCAAATTAGCCGTTACGAACGGATTGAAAATCCCATTGTTGAAAGTCACCGAATTCCTAGCACTCCAAACAAACCACAGCAAAGCGTGAGCAATGCAACTCCTTATGATCGCCTTAGAGCTGTCCGAGTTCAGGGGACTGACCGAAAAAAAGAAGATCATTGATAGAACTAACTGAATCGGGAATCCAATCAGCCCAATATTTTATATTACGTCTCACATCCACAGCTTTCCTACATTCAAGCAAAATGTGGTTGATCGTTTCCAGGTACTCCTTACATGGAGGACAAAGATCATCTTCTAAATGAACCCCTCTTTTAATCAGATTAACTTTCGTAGACAACCTATCGAGTCTCCCCCGCCAGATGAACATTCTGATTTTCGTCGGCACCGTTTTTAACCACATCGTAGGAGGACCACATCTTCTAAGAGCCATGCTATCAATCGCTTTTCGCAACGGGGCCACCGAAAACACTCCTGATTTATCCAGATCGCATCTCCATTTGTCGCAAGAGCCAAATCTGAAATTCTCGCATAGGGATATGATCGAGATCAAGTCCCGTTGTTCCCGGCCGTCGCGAATCGGCCTTCTCCAGTTCCACAAGAAGGTAAGACCATTTTCAGATATACTGATTCTATCAGAAATCGAACAGTTCGGATCCATCTTGAGCGACGCCAATCTAGGGAAAGAAGAGGATAAAGGGTTGCTAGAACACTAAGTTTCGGTCCAAAATTTAGTATTTCGACCCTCGCCTATGACTTTAGAAAAAACCGCATTCAAATCTAAATTGAACTTAGAAATGTGATCGCTTACTTTAATAATTTGGCTCCAGACCCCATTGAGCCTAACTGGCCGATCGTCCGGGGCAAGACCTCCGTTCGCACCATATAGAGATGTGATCACTCTCTTCCACAATGCCGTATCCTCAGTTCTAAGTCTCCACCACCATTTCGCGAGCAGCGCAAGTTTTGGGCTCTGAGGCTACCAATCCCAAGACCGCCATTAGACAAGTTGTTCAACGATTTCTCCCACGCTACCCAAGTAATTTTCGCCTTATCAGGATTAGCACCCTACATAAACTTTCTTTAATTCTCCAAGGTCTTTAAAACATATATAGGAGCCAAATAAATGGAGAAGAGATACATCCCAAGGCTTCCAAGCACCGATTTACAAAGAGTTAATGTACCCCCTCCCGATAGCACCTTTCTTTTCCATATAAAAAGCTTGTTACCGAACTTATCTACCAGCGGCTTCCAAGTCGAGATTTTAGACACAGAGGAACCGATGGGGATACCCAAGTAAGAAAACGGAAAAGAACCATCTTTGACAGCAAACATCGACGCTACTCTTGAAAATTAGGACTTAGAGACTTTAATTCCCAACAACACACACTTGTTCCAATTAATCTTAAGGCCGGAAGAGAGATGAAAGCATTTGATAAGGTGCAAGAGATTCCTAATATTTCTTTCATTCCATTTACCGAGAAAAATTGCATCGTCAGCATAGTGAAAACTATATATCACTGGACCATTTCTTGGAAGCGGAACACCTTTGACCAACCCCGACGAGTCGCCTCTTTCGTAGTAGCGATCAAACCTTCAATAGCTAGGATGAATAAATAAGGGGATAGAGGATCCCTTTGTCTAACCCCTTTCTCCAGTTGGAATCTTCTCGAGGGAGACCCATTTACTAGGACTGAAACCGAGGCAGAAGAAATAAGCTCTTTAATCCAACCTAACCATTTAGGTCCAAAATTCATCTGTTCCATTATGCCAAGAAGATAATCCTAATTAAGATTATTGAACGCCTTCTCAAAATCGACCTTAAAGAGAAATGTTCTTTTATTAGAACGTTTAGCCCAACTGATGATCTCATTTATCATGAACGGGCCGTCGTCGATACTCCTACCTTTGATGAAAGTCGTTTGCTTTGGACTAATAAGATGGTCAATGATCCGTTTAAGTCTAGACGCTAACATCTTCGATATATACTTGTTGATACAGCCTATAAGATGAATAGGTCTAAAATCATCCAAATTTAACAGGTCCTTCCTTTTTGGCACAAGCGTAATGAAATACTCGTTACTTCTCGGACACAGCTTCCAATTCATTTCAAAGCATCTAACAGCTGCTGTGAAATCCTCCCCTACAATCTCCCAAAAAAGCAAAGGAGAAGCCGTCTGGCCCCGGAGTTTTATCCGAAACGCAGTCCCAAATAGCTTCTTTAATTTCCTTGGCAGAAAAAGGCGATTCGAGCATGACTCTATGATCGTCAGATAGCTTCAGTATCCGATTGTTGCGGAAGACGGGTTTGTCCTGCACATTGTCTAAGTACTTGTCTTTAAAAAAATCATAAACAATTTTTTTAATAACGGACGGGTCTTTCTCCCAACACCCATTAGCCATGAGACCATGCATCCGGTTCTTTCTTCTACGACAATTGATGACACCGTGGAAGGAGGTATTTTCGTCACCCTCGATTGCCCAACGGATTTTCGATTTTTGTTTGAGATCCTCTAAATCAAGGGTCTTGAGGCCTTTGAGTTTATCTAACAGCTCGTTCCTTTCAATAATGATGGAAGACTGGGCTCCCGACACTTCTAGCATAGCATCTATAACTTTGATTTTATCTTTCAGAGAGCTGATTTCTGTCGATCGACCAGACGGGAGGTTACGTTTCCAAGCTTTAATACATTCCTTAGTTCGTTTAAGCTTGAGACATAGACTGGAAATAGCCGACAAAGACCCCGAACTACAATTTAAAGGTATCATCACCACCTCGAAAAACACAAACAAAAACCAAATAAGTTCCCAACAAGATCATAAGATCGAATAGTAACTCATGGCCCCTTCCGCTTCCTTCTTTTATTGTGTCCTCTTCTTATTATGTCTTATTCTCCTCCTTCAAGCCCCACCATGTCCCGTCGCAGGTGGATCGTGGTCCGTCCTCCTCCCAAGCATTGGCATCTCCGCCATGCACATGCAGCTACTTCCCAACAACCGTGTTGTCATGTATGATCGGACCGATTTTGGAATCTCCAATATCTCTTTTCCAGATGGCAAATGTCGGCCCAACTCAACCGACTGCTCTGCTCACTCCATAAAGTGTGGTTATTGGCATCCGCAGCAAAAAGTAAATACATTTTATCTTTTAATTAATGAAAATAATTGTTCTTTGTATTGATGTTAATTCAATTTATTATATAGCTTTAATGGCACCAGATTCATCCGTCGGATCACCAAGATAAACCGAGAGCTGCTTGACGGACCATGAATCACTTGGAAAAAAAATCCCTAGGACGTGACCGAATGTGGGAGTCGTTCCAGGTTCATAGTGTATATTCAACTTGTTATATTTTTGCTATTTTTTTAACCTAAGAATCGACTAAACTTTTTCGTATAGTGCTCCAACATTTGGGATCCGGCTTTGGACGCCCAGATTCAAGAGACATGGGAGAGAAAGACGGCAAAGCCATATAATGACAATTTGAGTGTTGCGAGGAAGAAAGCTGGAGAAAAAGTAAAGAGGAATGGGTATCCTCACTTCGATGAAACCGACCACACCAGGATATGAGTGCGTTGAAGAACTCCCGCCCCCCAGTTGGATACCTTCAGATGTATGGAACCAGATGGTCGATCGTTGAAACAATGACAATTGGAAGGTTGTTTTTAGGGTGGCGCATGAGAATCGTGATAGCCAAGTTGCGCTACACACCGGTGGATCAATCCCATTTTCAGAGCATGGTGCTCTCCTAGTAGGACCTAAATCCCATTACTTAAGTTGCTTGATATTTAATATGTTATAATTAACACATGTTTGTATTATTTGATCTTTGTAGACACAAGCAAAAGACGGCATGCCACCGACCCTTGTGTCATTGTTTGATTATACACATAAGTAGAGGCGAGTGGAGAAGTTGCATCTTCATATTTTGGGGGGTACGTGACCTCTAAGTGTATCCAGGGTATGATAAGTATCTATATATTTTAATGTTAATAATTAGGTACGTAACTATCTATATAGCTTAGGTTACCATTAAATGTTGGGCAAACATTCTAGTCATTTAAATCAAAATCGAAGTGTGTTTGTGTGTGTGTGTGTGTATCTAGTTCGGGTTGCCATTTGTTGGGCAAACATTAGGATTGTTTAAGTTAGAAATTTTGTATGTATCACTATTTAGTTTGGGTTGCCATTTGTTGGACAAATGCTAGAATTGTTTTGGCTAGAAATATCGTATGTATCACTATTTAGTTTAGGTTGTCATTTGTTAGACAAACATTATGATTGTTTTGGCTGGAAACGTACCATTTATAGTCGTCATGTTGTTGAATTTGAATTGTAATCTTTTTAAAACCATATGATGACTATTTAATGAGCCTCACCCAAAGATAGGGCGATGATCCCTCTACTTATCCCTTAGTTGATACAGAGTTGTGGGAGCAAACGGTAGGGGGAAGCAAGAAAAGCCGTCTATTTAGGTTTGGGTACAACAAGGATCCTAATTGGGTCTTGACAAGGAACTCCACACAGGGTGGTCCATTGTCTTCAGATAGCTGGACGTGCGCCTTTTTTCCTTTGATGATGTTTATCGATTTAGTTTGTAATTCATATTAAATATTATAATATTTTCTTTATTTCATAGGAAATTGACGCCTTAAAGACCCAGGTTTGAGATTTATAGGTAGAAAATGAGTGCTAACAGGTAGGGGAGGAGCTTCGGCGGGTGGATGAGGAGCGACAACAGGTGTTGTATGAGAGACGGGATGAACAATATGAAGAGATGACTGTTTTGGCCAAGCTGCTCAGTCAATCTCAGCAGTTCACGTCGCCAAAGTAATGAATATCTGTTTGTTTTGAAATATTTTGTTTGGAGCAATTGTGTGTTACTTTAGTTAGGATAACTGTATTAGACATTTCTTGTTTTTTAGTTTACTGTATGATGTTTAGTGACATTTCATCTTTTTAGCTTCTTTTTTAATATTTACAGGATTTACAGGAAAAAAAATTCTAGAGCTGGATGATTTTCTGGCAGATAAATCTACCATAAATATTTAAAGAATAAAAATAATAATTTTTAAAATTATATTAAATTTCTGACAGATTAAATTTCCTGCAAATTAAATTTCCAACGGATTTTGGGCACTTTCACTGGTAATTTAATTCAATTTCTCTTTTAGAATCTTATTAATAATTTCTTAATTTAATTAAGATTTTTTAAATAAATTAAAAAAAATTGGCTAATTTATGGCAATCATTTTCTGCCGGAAAACTAAAAATCCGCCAGAAAAAAAATCACCGACGCCTCATTTACGGCGGCCATATTCGCCATATCACCGCCGGGAAAGGTGACCAGTTTGGTAGTGACAATACTATCAAATATAATTGAATGCATATAAAAAAATTCATAATTTTTTTTTCTAACTATGAATAATTATCAAAATGTCAAATTACCTTTTATTAATTGTTCATTACAAAACAAACATATTTTGAACATATTTTAAAATATTATCAAACCCATTATGTTTTTATGCATACATAAATTATTCATGATATTTTCAATCCAACCACTAAAAAATAACACTAAAAACAATGAAAATGATGGGTTCATGGAGCACTAAAAATTATCAATTCCAATCATATACTAAAAGAACACACTAAAAGCC